CAACTTTTTTTAGATTATTTATGGATATCTTCATAGATTAATGGGTACGCGTATGTTATAATTTGTCCAAGCAAAAAAAAATCTTCCGGTCACATGTTGACCTGTGTAGGTATTTCCAAGATGGCGGCCTGTCAACGTCTTACGAACGACAGCTGCTATCATCACGCGCTATGATCGATGGAATCCCGATTTGTATACATAATTCTATCGTTACGTTTTAATTTTAATTGAATAGTGACCTCATGTTTTTTTTCCTCAAAATTCCCGAGTCTCCTTGTCGTTGACCTGACAAAACCAACATGTAAACAACATGTTTTGCAGACGAAATGCTATCCATACGGCACTGGGTTCCCGATCGTGGCACAATTCAATCGTTATGTTTACATTTATTTGAACCTCAATCCTTATTGTTGTTTTTTTATTATTTATCATTTTTTCCCACTAGGAATGTTGTGCAGTTAATGCTCAAAGCACAACATGATTGCAAAGAGTGGATTTTCTTTATGGAACAAAGTCCCGTGCAAGTCTATGACGATCGAGTTTAACTACAGTAAGGCAGCCAATGTTTGGAGCACAACAAAGTCAGAAGGATTAGTTTAGACTAAGTTTTATGGAACAGTTCACATTAAATGACGATCTTGTCAAATTATGGTATATTATGTAAAGTATGTAATTTAAATAAAGTCTCTCATACATTTTAATACTGTCTTGTATGTTTGTTTTTGTGAATGAATCCTGAAAAATATGCAAATTAGTATGCAAATTAGCATGCAAATTAGACCGCCATGCTTGCCTCTGAGCCTGGGGAGAACACTGCAACTTACCCGACAGATCTGTTTTGATTACCAACATTCATAACGTGTTCAATTTCTTTAACACTTTTAGTCACAAAAGAAGACAAATCCTGTAATAGAGATAAGGATACTAATAATTAATATAATTATACATCTGTCACTGTAACGCCATAAGTTAAAGCATGCCGTATTTTTGCAGTATTTTTCAGGGTATTTTCATCCTACCATATAAGGAAATGCGAATTCCAAATATGAAATGATTACACGTGTAAGCATCCTCTAATAATAAAAACAAAAATGGCTGCCACCAGGGTTTGACCGGACTCCATACAAAGAAGTTCGCTGATTCTGTTCTAAACTTTTTGGATTTTGACATTCCCATGACGTATCCAAGGATGTACATGTATAGAAGTAAAAGATGTATAATAATAAGGTTATTACAAGAATACATCAAAGTATGCACTCAGACAGTACGCCACGCATCTAACTCCGCTGTGCGCCGGTCAATACTCCGGGTGTACGATACTGTCTTTGTGCATACTTTGAGGTATCCTCGTAATAACCTCATATTATTAATAACCATTTGAACACAGATTTTTCCTGCTAATATTTTGGTATAACATTTTGCAAAGTTGTATGTGTTTTTTTTTTGTAATTAGTTTGTTCATTTTTAAACCAAATGGATATATTTTCCCATGGCTACAGGCATCGATCAACATTTTTGAAAGAATTTGAAAATAAATTAAGCAGATTCAATAAAATAAAATGTGAAAAAACTTGACTGGTGTATTTGCATATGTTACTATGTGAACAATTATAGAATAATTAACTTATACTATTAACAACTTAGTCATCACTGATTCGGTCAAGGATGTAGGGTAAAGATTTTTTGGAGGTAAAATTCACATTAATTATTTTCATGGAAGAATTACTTTAAACCATATCAAACTTATGTATATCATGAAAGCCCATAATTCACACTAATTTATAATTGATGTTATTTTAGATAAAACCTTCATGTGGTCATGTGACTGCTAAGTAAATAATTTTTTTGTTGAAGATTCAAATGAGAACTGTGAAGAAATTAAAAGGAGTACCACAATTTTTTTTATTGAAAATGTAGAATGAAACATAAGAAACATAACACTCAGCGATTTGGGGTAACTTTTATTTTTTTCTTAAATTTATATTTTTGCTTTTACAAGAAAATTTTTTTCGTTACTACATTTACATCGTGAAATCTGCTACTTTTATGTTTACTACATCTACAATCTCTGAAAAAGTGAAAAGATCCCATAAGTGCCTGCTGAGCAGTACTCATTTGATTGATCAAAAAATAAGAATTTATACCGTATTCTCTATATTATGTGCTAATATATAAATGGTCTAGTAATAAAGTCAGCATACAGAAGTTAGTGAGAGGTTTACTGTTGTTACAACCACAACAATACAACCAGATTTGGCTCACCTTAACATAAACCCCAGTATCTGGTCTCTCTTTTAATTCAAGTCGTTTTTTCTGATCCTTGGAGAGTAAATCCCGGATTTGTTCCTGATAGATTTCTAGATAGGATGCCCGCACCAAATACTGTTGGTTTTCTGTTCTGGATATGTGTGTAAATATGTGTGCAAATGAATTCGGAATGACACCTCGGAGATCTGGATCTGAGCGTATACCTAATGAAAGTTATACAAAATAAAAATGCTATTAAAACGATATGTGAGATTTGAGAAAATATCAGATTACTGCTGTACATATTATAAATTAATCTAACCAACAGCTGTTGTAGATATCTATGTAACTAATCAACAAGTTGACAATAAAATTCAGAAAGTTGAAATACCAAAAATAAAGTAATATGCACCAACAGCATAGTTAATATTTTAGCGTGAATAATTGGCTGGTTAGAAATTAGATTTATTAAGCCACTCTTCCAAAATCATAATATATGGTCAGAAATTAAACAGGATATGCTTTTCATGCATGTTTTTAAAACTGAATTTCGTTGAATTTCAACAAATCATCATGGACATGTACTAAACACGTATAATGTTGTATCAAATTTGAAAACCGAAAAATCCTGTCCAAGATACCACATTTTCAAAAAAACAAGATGGATCCCAGTCGGCCATCTTTGAACTGATTATGGAACAATTGACATGAACATGCATTTCTATATGTATTATGTATGTGCCAAATAAGAATGAAAATGGTCCATAAGAAGATATAGTAGTATGGTCAAAAAGCAAAATGGCCGCCAGTCACCCATCTTTGATCTGATCATGAAACAAACTCACATGGACGAGTATTCCAATATGTATAATGTATGTACCAAATTTGAACAAAAACTGACAAAGCATGCATAAGATACCACATTTTCAAAAAACAAAATGGCTGCAAGTCAGAGATCTTGGATTGAATCAGTAAACCACTGCATTTGCATATGTCCCAGATAAAGTACTATTAACATACAAAGAATGAACAGATTTAGTCCATAGGGTTCTGAAATGTGACTCTGGACGGATGAACGGAAGGACGGACAGAGATCGAATTATAAGTCCTTGTTTCAAACTTCGTTTGAGCGGGAACTAAAAAGCACATGTTGCAATTATGCAATAACCAAAAACATTTATATTTTTTAGCCTAAACATCTGAAAAGTTCAGGTATCAGCTTTTATAAATCTAGTCCACTTTTATAAACCACTGACATGCTCAGTATGATTATTCATATAACATTTAGAATTTCCAATAACTAAATTACTGTAAAGTGTTTCTAGTATTGATCACATCAGTTAGATCTAAATGTGGTTTGTACATGAGCATTTTAAGTTTCTTCAACTTCCTTGATGGCTGACTAGAAATTAGTGAAATACAAAACATACGAATCCATTTTCTTGTATTTGGTGGTTTTCTTGTGGTGGAATATATTGAGGAATGTATTCTATATTATTCTATTCCACTATTCTATGTTCAGTTTAGTCTATGTGGCACCTTTAGTGATCAGAAAAGAGTCTTAAAATATTAAGGATAGTAAAAAATAACTCAATATGTAAATTAGCATACCATATGAGCTCTATTAGAAGCACATCTATAAAAGAGGCACATGTAACCAAGAATTGCACGTATTGTTAATAAATCCAGTATTCATTAATAATATGATTTATTTTGACCATAGACACACCTCTGATGTTTATGTATCATAGTACATACATCAACTAATGGAACAATAGCGATAACATAAATTTAGTTTATAGTGCAAAAATTAGCAGAAATTTGCATGACTTAAATAAGACATCAATGACATACCTTCCATAGTGAAGGTCTTCCCAGTGCCAGTCTGGCCATATGCAAAAATAGTACCATTGAACCCTTCTAATACTGAGTCTACCAATACTCTAAATGTTTCATCATACAGATCAACCTGTTTAGAACTGAAAAACACAACAAAACAAAAAATATGACAGGCAAAAGCAAATTATATTTATTCAACATGTTCACAACATTCGTAATTTTAATTTAAAAAAAAAAAAAACAAGTGGAAAATATCTCCCTTTACAGTAATTTAATCATTTAATTTCTACATGTATATGACACACTGCAAAGAGGTCAATTATTCACTGCATTTTAATTTCGCTTATTTCGCTGACTGGAAAATGCGCTACATTAAAACCCAGTGAATATGTAAAATTTAACATAGAACAAATTATCAAAATGATAAAACTGTAAATTTGAAAACCCACTGAATATGCCTGAAATGATAAATCAGCGAAATTTTAACCCAGTGAAAATTTGTCATTTCACAGTAGGTAATTTTCTGTCACTGTGAGATCTCATATATTGTGTTAAAGCTACTGATCGAATGTCTGCCGCAAAAATCAAACAATTTGATTTTGAACTTGAATTTTTTTTTATAGTTCTAATCAAAATACAGATTTTTGAAAGGGGAATATTGCATTGAGATACCATTATTACATGTATATAGCTAATTATAAAGTACAGAAATACACCTAAAATACTCGCACATGATGTTTTGACATTTGTTTGCTCTATTTTGTTCATGAACGGTATATGGTTTGTTGTCAGTGCAAATTCTGTAATGTATATAAATGAATCAAAGCAGACTTCATACAAAACACAAAATCCAATTTTAATGTCAAAGTCACCTAGTATCCAACTCTCCTACTCATACCACCTTTCTTTTAACTGAGCAGTATTGCATTAGCGCATCAATTCTGAATACAATCTGCAAACATCGTTAAAATAAAGCTTCATTAAATCTAAAAATAGTTGACCAGCACAGGACTAATAAAAACTATGCTAGAGTCAGGTATGCATAGTAATCTGATACAAAATCATATTAGCAAATGTAATAAAATAAAAATCATAAAAACTGACAGCTTCATATATTATATCACAGATGGAATTTGAACTAAAAGCAATGTGTCTGGTAATTGGAAAACAGACTGAGATGAAACAGACTGAGGTTACAGTTTTTACTGAAATATGTACGCTCATAATAATTAGTTAATTTTAAAAGTTTGTTTGCTGTCAACAATGGTTTGTGAAATCTTAACTATAATTATTTGTTAATATATCATATAATGATTCAAATCTCATCACCTATGATTCAAATCTCTTCATATGATTCAAATCTTCAAGTTAATTAAATCACCCATAATAATGTAATCATACCGGTCTATCATTTGAAGATTCAAATAAATCTATTACTCATAATATTAGCAGGTATAATTGAAAATGCTAATTTAATAATGGGAATAAATTGAATCATAACTCAAGTAAGAAACTAATTATACCTGAAATATCAAACAATATACTGAATTTGATAAGATGGAATTCATCTGCGAGATATTTTAACCCTATCGACTGTCACATTTTCACTGCTACAATTTTCAATTTAATCCAATCTTATAGTATTTGATGAGAGTAAAAATGATTTCGATAAAAATTGTTGATGTGAAATGCAGCTGTGTGTCGCTTTGAAAATTAAATCGTACAACCTAATTAATTAAACATTTGCAGTTTTCATAAATTAATTACATGTACTATACTAGAGATGACAGAATAGGTATCTTGTACATGACAGTCATCATTTATCAATTTTGGATGTTATCTTTTTCATTTCAAGATGAGAATAAAAATACTGTTAGCATGCATCATAAATTCTTTCAACAATAAACCAAAATGAACCTCGAGATGTAGATATGATAATGCAAATGATTCATCTAAGTGTACACTATTATAGAAATGAAATATTTAAAATTGATGTCCCTCAACTAAAATGGTTAGCCAATAGATAATACAATACTTACTTCCAGTCATACACTGCATCAAATGTAAAATTCCTAGGTTGTTGTGTGTTACCAGCTTGGATGTTCCTCACAGTAATCATACCCCGTTTTACATCCATGTCAACAACTCGTTCATGCCCATCTTTTATTTCTTTCTCGTTAATTGGGCGACACCGAACAACAACTTTCACACATTCTGCACCCTTTTTAGACTGCAGAAAAACACATATAAAAAATAAATTAAAAAATTCAACAATGAAGCACCTGAAAAAGTATCTACTTGTCATAAAAAATTGTTGTGTTTAGGTTTAAAAGCGAAGTGATCATAAAAATTGAAATCTTGCATACATAAACAAACAAGAGTATTTTTTTTAAACTGGTGCACACAATTTAAACTACATGTAGTTAAAAAATAAATAATATCATCTGCAAAGCCAGGTTCATAGTAAAAAAAGAATTGACATAAAAAATAATTTACAATTTCTATGACTACAATATTGGTCAGGAGAAATCATCAAGAAACATTTCAACTAGAATCTAAACTTACCATGATTGCAGACAGTGATGATTAAATGTAACTTTTGCCTGCAAAAATAATAAGATATCATTAAAACCAAAATGAATAATTATAACAATTACGTGAGAAATAAAATAGTTATAAAAACATGCCTGTGTATTACACTACAAACTACATGTCAATATGATTCCCTTTGAACTCCACATTTCTTTCAGTCAACATTATTCTGCAATTTTATATTTATTTTTCCATAATTTCTTTTTTTGATTTTTGACCAAACTGACATTATTTCCCAATTTTTCAGGATCTGTATCCTGAAAAAAAATTATGAGGATTTTATTTTGTGAAAGTTGACAAAAATTTACTTTCTAAAGGTTGGAGATATTGTAATGCAAATTGCAATGCAATGATACTTGTGTCTTATGATGAAGACTGGAAGGGAAAACACATATTTTCTGATCACACAAACAAAAATGCGTTGTTTATAATGGTCAATTTGAGGTACCTTTCTCACGTCATCCCAGTGCGTGTTTTTACATGAATGTATGTGTGTGTGTATCCTCTTAACAGTTTGTGCTACCGGTAGATTAA